ATTGGGGATCGTTGATGGACTGCAATTTCAAACTCTCGCCATACATTTTCTGTGGATTTATGTCAGAACTTTGACTGGGCCACTCCAGGACATTAATTTTCTCTTTTGAAACCATTTCAGTGAAGCTTTGGCCTTGTGCTACGAGTCATTGTCCTGCTGAAATGTGAATTTTTGACCCAATTTTAGATTCTTGGATAACTCATGCAGGTTTTCTTCTAGGATTCACCTGTAGCTTGCACCATCCATCTTCCCCTCAATCCTGACAAGCCTCCCAGTCCCTGCTGATGAGAAGCATTCCCATAACATGATGCTACCACCACCATGTTTGACAGTGGGATGGCGTTGACTGGGTGATGTGCTGTGTTGGGCAGCGTCAGACGTAACGCTTGGAATTTAGACCAAAACGCTCAATTTTGTCTCATCTGATCACGAAACCTTCTGATACAGCTCTGCAGTATCATTTACATGCTTTGTCGCAAATTAATACGAGATTTAATATACTTCTTTTTCAGTAATGGGTTCTTTCTTGCCGCTCGCCCATACAGGCCAACTTTGTGTAGGGACCAGGATATTGTCGATGTATGAACAATAGCTCCCATTTCAGATATGGAACTTTGCAAATATTTCAAAGTCACTGTTTGCTTAACAGTGGCATCCATAACCAGTTTCATGCTTGCTCGGCTGCTTAGTTTGGAAGGGCGGCCTGCTCTGGGTAGCGACTGGGAGGTATGAAGCACATTACACTTCTTAATGATGGACTTCACCATATTCAAAGAGTTAAGGGTGGCGAGGCCGAGTGATTTGCCTCTCTCTGGTCAGCAGTTCTAAATTAGAGATGGTTAAGTCTGAACCTTGAGTTTTCTGACCTGGCCGTTTTATCCATGTGTCAAGTAAAAATACCACATACAAAGTTATATATTTAACATATAAATGACTTAAATATATTTATTATATTACTATGATTAAGCTCGAGACCTAAACATGTTTTCTAAAATTGTTTTGTATAGTTTCTACGTTTTTAAGAGTATATGGAAAATTAAATACAACAACACATAAAAAAAAAGTATGATTAGAGTTTCATATTAAAACCTATATATATTCATGATACATTTAAAGCAGCTTTTCCTCAAATCAGCATAAGCTATATTAATTAAATGCATCACAATTCTGCATGACAAAAGCTAGAACCATGATGTTAAATATTTCAAAGAACAAATACTTTCTAGTTTTATACAGGACTATTTAGTTAGCCTAAGACTAACTGTCAATGGTTTGTTATGGATTTCGCGCAAAGCTACACGGGGGCTATCTGCGCCAGCCGATCCTAATTTAGCAGCGTAAGACTAGAGGGAAGGCACCTAGTCATTAACACCCACAGCGAACTCTTGGGCTACTCTTTTACTAACGACCGTCACATTATAACGCTCCCACGGCTGAAAGGGCGAGTACGTTGGTTGGACGGGGATTTGACCGCGACCCACAGATTGCGAGTCGAGCGCCCTAACCACCTGGCCATGCCGGGCCAAGACTTTTAGAAAATATTGTTGTTGTTTTATTAGATCCTCACCATTAAACCATGAATAACAGTGTTCGCATACTTTGTATTGAAACCTTTTCTGCCTATTTAAAAGTATGCACTTATAAGTTTATGAAAGTTATTCAATACTGCTTTTAAAAGGAAGAAATAGGTGTTTGAATATTTAATAACAAATTATCATTAACTTTGAATCAAAGCAAGCTACCTACATGGATATGAAATAAAACATTAACTTAATAATGAAATTATAATTATAAAATATTCATGAGTTGGATAACCTTGCTGTTACGAGTCACACGGTGAGTCGTTAGTAAGCTTACCGGTTTACAGTACTCTAAACCGGGGATCGATTCCCCGCAGTGAATAGACTGCATATAGTCCATTTTATAGCGCGGCACAGTGGCATGTCTGCAGATTTACAACGCTAGAAACCAGATTTCGATACCCGTGGGCGGAGCACAGATAGCCTATTGTGTAGCTTTGTGCTTAAACTACAAGCAAACAAAGTATTGTATAGTATCACGCTAATAGTAAAAATATCTCTATTACAATTTTCATTAACTGATAGAGAAAATAATCAGCCACTCTTAAGAAGTTTACTTCTTCAATGTCTTGAATTCTAGATACACTAAACTTAGGAAAATACATGTATTTGGATATTCGCATAAACGTAAATAAACATATAAAGTAATTGTGTTGTGTTCATGAAAACAATTTATTTTTATGGCTTCTAGTGTGTATGGGAAACCCAGAGTTTTATTAGTACATTTTTACAATATCAAAATAAAACGTATTTAATATACTTGGCTAACAAGTGATGTTTCCTTAAAGATAAATAGATTTTATGCGCTAGAAACATGCTTTGTACATTTGTTTGTATACTGTAATTAACTACCTAAAATTACCCTTTGAGACTCTGCTCTATAGCAGGGTATATAGATGTGAGGGAAATACATTTAAAAACCAATAACACGAAATTAAATCCACAACTTCATGTAGGCTTTATCACCGCTTATTATACCGTCCGTATCCATAATTATGGGGATATGGGACGAAACCCCAGAAGTTTAAAACCTTCAACATGTTGATTTTCTGAGTTAAAATTTACTATAAAGTAAAACATCGTCAAATCTCTTCGACAGTGATGTCCTTTTAAAAATATTGGGTAACAAAATGCCGACGGTATTGCTGCTTAGGATGTTTGCAGAATTTGTAGATTAGAGTCATCATCCTTATCCAGTAAAAGTTTTCTTTTAATTAGCCTACACATTTATTGTGGTACAATAAAAAAACTGATATGTAAGTAAAATTTCTCTTAAGATTTCATTAGTAATCCAATAAGCTTCTTTTATTTCTATATTTGCTTTAGTTTTGAATCCTGTTTCAATGCCGATAAGAGTAACATCGTTAATGGAATGACTGGATTGGTTAAAGTGTTGAGATCTTTTTCAGTGTTAATAGAAAATTAATAGTTGTTGAAACATTCTCTAAAGGTTGTTTGTGTATGTCCTACATACTGGTGATTGCATTTTTTACACTGTATAAGGTAAATGGTGTTTTTCATTTCACAAGTGAATTCTTTGGAAACTCACAGCAGCCATTGGAGAAAGCTTAATTAATCTATTTTTAAGATATCCTGACGATATTATACATTTCTATGGGATTAGCTCTCAAGAGTCGTATATAGTTAACGTTATTTTTGAAAATAACTTTTATACTTTTATAATGTATATACTTCAGGAATAACACAAACTCGGAAAAATAACCACTTCAAAGCTAACACAACCCTGAAATAGAGACAAACTTGGCTGCTTTTACTTTTTCCTACCTCCACTGATCTATTGGTTGCGTCAAAATACTTCAATGTGTGAACTGGATAGTTTTAATATATTTAGCTTATTAGTTAACAAGCTCCTTTCTTCGGTATAAAAACAAAAATGCTCTGTGATATTAGATACAAATAACTTTTTCGAACGAATACTGGACATTGATGGTAAAGATTTAGAATTTTTAAGAAACCTCTAATGGGACCAAACTGCAGCAGTGAAGATAGAAACTGATTTGAGTGATTTCATCCAGATTAAGAGAGGCGTGAGGTAAGGCTGAGTATTTTTATCTTACGTGTTTAATTTGTAAAGTGAGAAAATCCTGACGGAGATTACCAGGGCTGATCAATGGAAGACTGAGTCTGAACACATTGCGTCAGTGATGACACAGTTTTAACAGCTGGTTCAGTAGAGAAGCTAGCATAAATTTTAGATGAAATTGTTGGTGAAAGTGAGAAGAAGGATTTAAGTATTGACTGTAGAAAACAGAATGTATGGTAATTACATGGAAAAAGATCATTCCTGTATGTATTGTCAATGTAGATAAGACAGATCAATAAATTCAACTACTTGGGGAGCTGGATAACATCAGGTGGAAATATGATCGAGAAATAAAACGGAGAATAAGGATGACAAAAGACACATTTCTGAAATTGAAAAAGCTACTGACAAACAGTAAAATTTCTATGAGAACGAAATTAGGAGTTTTGAATTGTTATGTTATACCAGTTCTCACGTGTGCATCAGAATGTTGGACAATATTATCAAGTATAGAAAAATAAAGATAATTGAAGATATTGAGTTGTGGTTCTTAAGGCACATCTTGAACGTTTGTTAAACAAGTCACACCTCAAATGAAGATATTTTGTGAAGAGGAGGTTGTGGGAAGGAACTGCTGACTAACATCAAAAAAGACAATTGAAGTTACTCGCACACATTATGAGGAAAAAAGAAATTGAAAGTCTGATCGTAACTGGAAAGACTGAAAGAAGAAGAGACCGAGGAGAACAGAGGTTGACTTATGTCAAGAGTCTATCTAAATGGATGAATGTAACGATATTGGTAATTCTCTGTGCTTCAACGAGGAGAGATCTGTGAAAGGCCACGGTCACCAACGTCCTGTTTGGATATGGTACATGGAGAGAGAGAAACTTCTAGAACATATTTCCACATATATTTATCGCTTCGATGTCTGCAGGTTCTTTATTAATTTTTATCTTTATTCCTTCTACGTGTTCTGTTTGTTTTAGGCGCACAAATTGACAGAGCGTCGTGGTTTTCTAAGAAATAGTTTTAAAACATATATATGTATGTATATACATATATACTATGAAATTATTAAAATAGTTGGAACAACAATTATAAGCTGATTTCATCTACTTCAATCAACCATTAAAAACGTAAGCTGATTATACAGCATTATCAGAAGTAAATTTGTTTTAAGTTTTATACCTGTTTGGTTTCCATTTCTTTCTTTGAAAACATCTACTTTCGGACATAGATACTATCAATAGCTTGAATGGATACTTTATAAATGTTACATAACTTCTTTCTATGTGCAAAAACATCTGATTCATAATTTACTATCACTCAACAGCTATGTGGTTAATGTCATCAAAAGTCATCAATTTTTACAGGTGTACATTGTGATATGTGGATGACTAGTTCTTTAGAGAAAAATGGGACTTTCACAAGCCCAAATTATCCGGAACCTTATCCCGCAGATGTCCATTGTGTTTACCACTTCGCCGGTAGAGGGCGAGAGAGAGTCCAAGTAATTTTTACCGATTTTGATCTACTTCAGCCTCTGCACAATAATGTCAATAGAGAGTAAGTAACAATAACTTCATTAATATATATAAATAAGTAATGTCAATAGAGAGTAAGTAACAATGACTTCATTAATATATATAAATAAGTAATGTCAATAGAGAGTAAGTAACAATGACTTCATTAATATATATAAATAAGTAATGTCAATAGAGAGTAAGTAACAATAACTTCATTAATATATAAATAAGTAATGTCAATAGAGAGTAAGTAACAATGACTTCATTAATATATATAAATAAGTAATGTCAATAGAGAGTAAGTAACAATGACTTCATTAATATATAAATAAGTAATGTCAATAGAGAGTAAGTAACAATGACTTCATTAATATATAAATAAGTAATGTCAATAGAGAGTAAGTAACAATGACTTCATTAATATATAAATAAGTAATGTCAATAGAGAGTAAGTAACAATAACTTCATTAATATATAAATAAATATATCTATCTCTATTTTCACCACATCGATTAAGGACGAGGTTTATGTAATACGTTACTGGAACTTGGAGAATAAACTTTTTTATTATTTTTTTAATACTAGCATATATTGAGTTAGATATATTAGGTTTCATCATGCTGTTTATAAAGGAATGTGACTACCATGGCTACAGTACAACTGCAGAAGAACAGTTGTACTTATCACCCCAAGAGGTTTGTATGTTTAGCAAACAGATTTTATTTATATTAAGACATTTTCTTGCTATTGTGTTTCTTTATGAACGACTACATTACTACAACTGGCTGCAGACAGTGAATGACAGATTTTAGACATGGGTCAATGTGAAGTTATACATTCATAGTTGTTCTTCAAGTTCTATTTATTTGTTTTACATATGACGTTTGCTAAAATAAACTGAATTAATTAAACGATTTAGCCTTCTCATTGCATATACATAGGGTAAATTTTACCATTTCAACATCATAGTTTTATTGTCTGTTTTATATGTTGCAACTTTTTATTTTGACGTAGTTAATTAATTGTTAAGAAACCATCGAAGATAGGAATTAAGATGCTGTCGTGTTACATTTTATTTCCTTTATATCAGAATTAACATAAGAATACCAAAGAGTGTTATGACATAAATGTAATGTTTCGTCCTCACCATTCGATTCTACATTGCCATGGTAACAGTGATTTTCATCATTAGTTTAAATAAACGCGTTCATGCTACGTCATTTAACTTGCATGAAGTGATTAGACAATTAAAATACCCTTCAAGCTTCGGTTTTAATTTAATATAAACAATCTTAACGGAAATCATGCTTGTATAAGAACAATCAATGTTAACACGAATGTCAACTGTAAAGTACCTCTTTGGTTAAACTAACAAGCATCTTGTTAGACTGGTTATTCGTTTCTGTTTACAAATGTCTTATAACGAAAAGTAAACTACTAAAATACAGGGTAATCCAGAATTCTGATACTGACATGTAAACAAGTATATTTTGAAGTCAAAATTCCCAGTTTTGCTTTCGAACGTTTCACATGTACATGGCAAAAATAAACAAATACACCCACAAACACGGAACATGGAAACTATTTTATATTCGTTAGTACGATAATGTTCTGTGAAACTATCAAATAAGTTTTAAAACAAAAGATTACATAAATACATTTAACTTTTGAATAATTTCGTCCAAACAATTTTCATTTACTTTGTTTAACACTTTACTCAAAGTGTATAATCAATTTCGAATAAGGCGTAAAAATAACAAACCAATCTTACGTATTGAGAAATTGAAATAATCCAAGGCCGCGTTAAATAATTTAACTTTTAGTAGTTGAACTGTACCCTAGAATTAGTGTTTAGAAATATGTCGATATTTAATTTAATTAATGCTATTCGTCAACAAGATTGATTCACACCGTTTTTGTTTTGATACAAATACGTTTTAATATATATATAGAACAGTATACGTTACAATGGCAACTATTACGTTAACTATTATGTTAACCCAGAAACAAAGCTGTAGCAATACACCTACTGGTGGTGAAAGTTTAGATTCAATAAATATTATTGAAAATAAATTTAAAGTTTTTTTATGCGGTTATAAAATAGTAGCGTATGCTTTAGAAACATAATAACTCTATAATCGGTACATTTTAAAGTAACTATGAAGAAACTAAATCAACTGCCGTATCAACTTATGTTTGATTTATATTTAAATTCCTTTGTAGCTGTGAAGGAACTGATGTGATTGAAATTTTTATCAAGATCAATGGTAAAAAAGAAAAAATAAGAAAATTCTGTGGGAAATCTCTTCCGCCCCAGCTAATGTCCAATGGACCTACGATGACCATTGAATTCCATGCTAATAAAACTTTTCCTATTGCTAAAGGATTTCAAGCTTTTTATAAATTCGTTAACGGTAGGTGAAATAATAAGTTAACAAAAGAAGAACATTTACAGTGATTACATCTAGTTCATAATGTTCAAATAAAAATGACGAATATTTAATTTCAAAGCTAACGTGTAATTAATGGAAAATGTTTAACTTATTTCAAATCTAGTGTTTGTGGTAGTTATTTCAATATTGTTAAGTCAACACATGTATTGTTCGCCACTGAAAACCAGTATTATCACATATAAAAATAACTATAAAAAGTGGTATGTAGCTGAAATTTTAAACTCCATACGAAAGAATATCTAATTTCTACTTCAAATATATATATTTTCTTGCCAGCCTGAATATATTAATGATAAGACAAAGTAAAATGTTCAATCATAAAAGAAGAAAAACGTACGTCACTGTAGTTTTTTTTGTTTTACAGCCATTTCTGAGATTTAATTATAAAATATCTAATATAAAGTATTTAGGGTAATTGTAAAGAAAGATAAAATACTAAATTTACTTCCTATATTATAAGTTAAGTAAAAATAAATCAATCATCCATTTAAAAACAAACTTTCAATGCACATAAATAGAAAAAATTAACATCAGTATAAAATACAGAGGGTTAAGTGCATTTTATAAGAGCGATTTGCATATGTGATCTAAGACTGACCTCGTCATCCTCCAAGGACTTTTGTTATAAAGGAAACTACAGTGTTGGACAGTAATGCACAATCATAGCCGTCAGGCTAAACACGATTGATGATGAAGGAAGTAATTCGAAGGGCAACACGGGATATCGTTCTTGTAAAGTGCAATTAATGCCATTAAACGTCCAAGTGTTAGTTATCTGTCGAGATATCAATAGGGAATAAAAAAAATGTTAGTCTATTTTTGAAATCACAAAATCCCTTTCTTAAATGCTTCTCATCTCTACGCAACACAACACCAACACAGAGCGTTTACAAAATAGATATATATATATATAAGTTAGCTAACGACATACATAACATTCAGATCATTTCAGTTTCCGTCTTACATTTGAAGCCTTGCAGTTCAAATGTTGTTTCTATCTTATGAGACTAGTTCCTTTCAGGGTACGTTGTTTATAACATTACAAAATAATGTACTTCGTGTAACACTGCCCTGTAAATCACATCAAATCCAACCTGAAGTCAAAGGTTATAAGTGCTATTCCTTTCATATGTACAGATACACACACATTCAGAAGGATATAATTACATATTTTTTTCCTTCCTAGCCTGAGATAAGAAAGAAAATCTCTTCTGTGTTTCTGCAATCTTGCATCATTCGCCTATCCTTGAGGAGTGGTAGTTTATATGTGATAGGGATCACACGAGTAAATCACAGAATTCGGTTGAATTTCATCATCACATATATCTACTATGTCCGAACCTAACATAAACAAAATGTATGATAAGAACACTGCTTTTAGAAACATCCTCATACACGGTAAAAACTACAAGAAACAATTTTATTGCAGAGTGGGAGAAGATACTTGATAGTGAGATGTTTCCAACATACATAACGCTCGTTCTTGTCCCTTGTTCGTAAGCTGTTTCTTAAAACGTGTCCTAGCTATAGAGATTTAAAGTACTTTCGTTAAAAATAAATAAAACACTCAATGTTTACAAATCTTTATTCTTATTTGAGCACTGTTCGTTTCTTTTTCTTTTTCAAAACAAATATCCATTGGTGAGTTCATGGGCGTTTATTGAAACGCCAAATTCTACTGTTCGATTTCCTGCGATGAACAGAGCGTAGATAGCCAAATGTGTAGCTTTTCTCTTTAAAAAAAAACTAAGAATAAATTGAATTAATTAATAGTAGAATACAACTGAAAAGAAACTAAATTTTCCATTAACCTTGTGAAAAAGAAACATTTTATACTGTTCCTTAAAATAACATCATTGAAAAAGAAAACAGAAGAGTTAAAGAACGACTAAATACAGAATACTGCGAGCCGAGAAAAAATTGATAAACATTAAAACAATCCAATTGGTAAAAAGAAAAAATAGTTTAAAACTAGGTTTGTGATACAAACACTTTGCAAAGCATGAAAATGTAACCTTAAAATTCATCTTAATTTATTCTACTCAAAAGATATGGCTGTTATGTTAAACAAACTGTATAAATAATGTAGTTTAGTACATTGATATATCGTCTTTAGCATCGTAAAATAATTACCATCAAGTGAAGGGGATTTTTAAAGGTTTTTTTCTCCTGGTTTGTAGTTAATTTCTCTCTCTGTTGGTCGAAGTTCAACGCTATAATTAATTTACTTGCTAGGGTATGATATGTTCTAATATGAGTTTCGTAGAACATTTATATTAGAGAATACATTATAGGCGCATTGCTGTTTTCATGAATGATTCTCGTAGAAAAAATGCGTAATTATGTTATAATAGTTTTTTTTTCCGTATCTCACATTTCATAACATTATTTTCGTAGAAAAGATATTTATATGTGATAAGTAAAGAATTTGTATCTAATTTTACTAAAATTTTTCTCGTACAAAAGAGAATGGAATATTTTGAAATATGTTTCACATTCACCTCATTCTTAAAGTATGTTTCACTTCTATCTATTAAGATTCAATTTTTAGTTGAAACGAGTATACATGTATTTGGATTTGAAGATGTGATGTTGTTAACGTTATGAATAATGATACCAAAGAAAAATAACAAATTTATAAACTTTTGTAAAAAATTGTGTTATTTCGCTGAAATATCTCCAATTTCAAAATAAATGTTATCATAAACTTGTAACTACAGAGACTTATTTTATGTTTTTTTATTTTGCCATTATAACAACCTAATTCATATGGAAAAGACAAAGCATAAAATCATGATGTGGAGAGGGTAATAAAGTAATAATTTGTAACGGTAGGGGGCTGAAGTTTGTTTGCAGTTAAGCACAAAGCTACACAAACGGCTATCTGTGCTCTTCCCACCACGGGTATCGAAACCCGATTTATATCGTTGTAAGTCCGTAGACATACCACTGTGCCACTGATTGTTGCACAATAATCTGATGTTCAATTTTTTTCTTTATTTTTTCTCATTTGATAAACACAGCTATAAAAACCGTATAATGTTCCATAAACATCGTTTCCCACATTCTTACCTTAAATTACCATCTCTGTGACTCTAACGAGAAACCTCTTAAGAACAGCTCTTCGGTGACTCAACGTTAAGTCTGAGTGCTTATAACTCTAAAAATCGGGTTTTTATAGGTAGAACTATGTTTAACAACAAACAAACAAATGTTAAAAACTAATGTAAGGAAAGTCCAAAAAATTACGTGATACATTTAACTATGTAGTTGAATATACATAATTACTTAGATGTAAATGTACTTTAGGATATCCAACACTCCGAAATACCTATAACAGAATAAGTTCATTTTAAATTGAGCCACTTTTATCGAATTGGGTGGTTTGAATTATTTAATTCACTTTCAATCTGGGATTTCATCCCTATAATTCATCTGGAACAATAAGAACTTTTACTCCCTAATCTTTATTATTATTTTTTTTATGTTAGAGTGTAACTTGTAATAACTTATTAACCTGACAGAGTTTGATAGTTTGAAGACATTGAACATATATACATAAAACAAGTAAAGACAGCAATTTGTCAGTTAGAAGCAGAGATGGTGCTAGAGGAATGCGTGAAACTGGGACGATTGCATTAGCATCCCCAAGATATAAGGACACCAGACAGAGAGTCTCTGGGATTTCTCCTTCTCGTCTTCCCCAAATGAGTAATGTTATCTATTTTAAAATCTTCACGACTTAAATAATTTGCGAGCGAGCATGGCATGTTTTGTGAAGGACCCTTGCACAGTCGACAAGCATTGTTTCGAGAGTATGTAACTTTGATTTTAATTAATCATCTTGCTTCAAGGTTACTGTTTGACTCGATTGTTGGTTTTGATTTGATATATCATGAAATACATACGAAATGGTTATAGCCAGGCAGTTATTAAAAGGCCCCATATTTTCTATTTACGCCACAATTCTCAAATATTTAGCATCCTTAATCCAAGTATGATTGTTTTGATTTGATATATCATGAAATACATGCGAAATGGTTATAGCAAGGCAGTTATTAAAATGCCCCATATTTTCTATTTACGCCACAATCCCCAAATATTTAGCATCCTTAATCCAAGTATGATTGTGGCCATCGATTATATCGGCATCTTTTAGAAACAGAAGAATCTAGGAATTGTTATTTTAGAAAAAGCTTGAAATTATTCATTGTGGTTTCTTCTTCTCCTCTAAGGTTTTAGAGTGCTGTTGATAAGCTTTATTGGAACAATTATGGCACCGGTATAACTCTGTTACACAGATAACACGCACCGGTCTGACGCTGTTACATAGATAACACAGAATTCCTATATATTGATAATAAAATATTCTGAAGCTGTGGAATCGAAGGAAAATGCAGTGAATTATAATTTTATTAGATATAACACATTTATTGAAATATGGGATGCAAAGTAATTTCACAAAATGCCATTAAAATACTAAAGTATACAATTTTCATACGTACTAAAGAAACAGTTATTGTAGGTAACATCTGCAAGTCTTGAAACAACCATAAAATCCAGGTTATATAAATGTATAGGTTTCAAACTTTCAGTACTTGTTATTCAGATCAATAAAACTAGAAGCATAAACATTTTATTTCAAATCCAAGACGTCTACGTAGAAGACACTAGAACTATGCTGCATGTATAAATTAGCAATTAGTACACCAACACATTGCTGAGAAATACAGTATCGCTCTGCAAGATCATAAGAAAATATTGACCGAAACTCCAGCAGCATATGCAATTTTGTGGAATACTTGTTATTTGTTTTCAGTGCATATTAACATTAGACTGTTATCAACATTTACCTTGTTTTTTTTTACCAAACCATGTTAAATTTGTTCGTTTTAGCTACAAAATAGGCTACCTGCACTGTGTCCACCACGGGGAAATTGAGCCACGTAAAGTTACGATAACCTTCCGAAGGACCATTATGTTGAAACCTGTAATATTGTTACAGGAGACCTTCACTTTTCACGATCCTTCAGTCACTCTTCATTTAATGAATATTACAGAGCACTACCATAAAGCAGTGAACCAAACGAAAAAAATCCCTCGGACGTGCCGCTCATTACAAATAAAAAACTATCATCTTACCACACTGCAGATAGTGACAAAACTAATTAGGTAGCATTTCATAAGCCCAGCTTCATCAAATAAAACATCATTAGAAATATGTAATAAAATGAACCAAAGAATCACGCATCGAGTTCCCATAATTATTCCTGCATCAGTGTTATTATGTTTCATAAAAATAGACATAAACCTAAAGTAGTGCATGTTATGTTACAACATTAATGATTGATAATGCGAATTAGATGGTATCCAATAGATGCATTAAAAGATGTTGATACTAACCAAAGAAGTAAATTATTAATAATTTATGATATAATTTATATCCAGCTCGAATGATTAAAAAGTTTAGAATAGACTTAATTGATATGTAGCTTCGTAACTTCATAATGAAGAACTACTTTTCTGAAATGTAGCTTATTTAATTTGCTGCAGTCATATTGACTAACCTTGTTTTATAAAGCTTTAATTTTACAATGAATGGTATAATCCAAACTTTTTTCAAAGCAAGAGTAACATTATAATTATCCCCTGTATTTATAGCTTTTTATAACTATTTAAAAAACTATTTCTTAAGATATTCAAATATTTATTTGAAGACTTCATAACATTTATTAAAAAAGTGAATAATTTTAAATTATTTTTTCAGATTTTGGAATCAGTGTGGGAACCCAGGACCAGCAGTTAGGTAAGAGTTCTTCGCATCATCTCTCTAATTATAAAATGCATTACGTAATTATATCATATAATTGGAATGAACGTTAAAATTAAAAAGCTTCTACACGTAAAGTACTGTTGCAAAGTCCAGGATTCTTACTCAATCTTTGTAGCAAGTAAGACTTTGGGTAATACTAAGCGTTTACTGTATTAATGTTGGAAAGTTGTTGTTGATCATGAGTATGAATAATTCGCTAGCAAACTACCGATGAATGATAATAATTTAAATTTGCTTATTTTGACGAAGTTCATTTAAATTTGTTACGAACGCGTACGTTGTAGATCATGTTAAATTATCATGGATCAAAGCTCAGCTATCTCTGTTAATCCCGTTAACAAGAATGTTATTTTTATATGCATCCTACTTAACCATTCTTTTAAATACTTTGTAAGTTGAAAAAAGTAACTTCTATAATTCATTAGCAAACAATATGATTTTAATAATTGATGTTAAATGTTTAGTTGTCAATTCAAATGGAGAGAAAAATGTAAAAATTGGAGATTATTTAAAAATAAGTTTGTGATGGAATTGATTGGAAATGGTTCTCAATGTAGCTTATGGAATATGGATCACTCATTGTGTTTATGTACTAATTTCTTAGAAACTTTCTATACATAATCTTGGAAAGTTTTAACTTCGAAGGAAATACTTGTTCAATGATCCAACAATATCACTCCAGTTTTCAACTTTTCTAGAACCTTGTTATGATATGAGTATGAGTTGCTTAGAGATGAATTTAATCTTTAATATTCATTAATCAATGCACTACAATCATTTTCATACTTTATTCGCAACCTCTATTGTTTAAATGCAACCACGAAGGTTAAATCATAAGTTAATGTTTGTATATGTTTTACTGACGCTGAAGAAATAAGAATATATGTGATTGATTTGATAAAATAAAAAAAGCGTGCCTTTTAAACTGTCAAACTAATTCTAGACGGAACCACAAGACATTTTTTCTTAGTGACAATTACTTAGGTATGAAAATGTGCCCACGTGCACATTTACCTAATGTGTAATTGCTTACCTATTTAACATGATCAAGTGTTTCGGATTTAGAGACTTTATCCTTTGCGGATTGGATGGAGTAACAGACAAACGACTATGAAGCTATTCTACGTTTTAATAAACATATGCCCCCCCCCAGTGGCACAGCGGTATGTCTGCGGACTTACAACGCTAGGATCTGGGTTTCGACATCCGTGGTAGGCAGAACACAGATAGCTCATTGTGTAGCTTTGTGCTTAATTACATACAAACAAACAATAAACATATAAAAACAGGGTCTCCGTTCCAAGTAGTACCAAATCTAATCCTTATAACAGAAGAAGGCCAGGCGTATCCTAGTGGTAAGCGTGCTGGTCTCTGAATCCGAGAATCCAAGATTCACGTCCCTTTGACGCAGAATCGCTCTCCGCACTCAAGGATCATGGGTGCGTTACATGAGAAACAGTCAGATTTCACTATTCGATTTGAATAGCCTGAGAGTTGGCGGTGGGTGCTGCTGACGAACTATTTTCCTTCTAGTCTATCAGTTCAAAATTAAGGACGGCTAGCGCAAATTGCCCTCGAATAGCTTTGTGAAATATCCGAAAGAAACAAACTAAACCAATGAATTGGGAATTAGTATTTACAGTCACCGAAAACTAGTTACTTAGCAGATTAAAGTATATTCCCTGGTAAGCATATCAATCGTTCGAATACTGCTCGGTGAAAGTTTTCACCTTTTCAAACCACTGATACAAATTAAAACTTTTCAGAGCAACTTTAGTGAAGAATTTATTGAAAAATCGCGATTTTACTAATTACCTCAATTAATTCAGCTTTACTCAGATAATATAGTATCATTGACATTCGTTATTTTATTAATAATCAGACTACATAAATTACCCCATGGTTAGGAGATGATACTAACGAATACCAAAAATAAAATAGCAGGGAAAACATTTTAAATTATTCCTTGGATCCTTAGAATTGTTCTTTTCTTTTGTGATTTTATATTAGTTTCATGATAAAATGTTTTGTTTATTCATTGCTTTTATTTATGAATGTATTCCTAAATATATGTACTTCGTAGTATATGTATACTCGGAGAACATTATAAATCCTAACTGTTCTTGAGGGTTAATCGCATTTTATAAGAACAAGGTTCCGTGCTCACCTTGGAACAATTTTCCCATTCTGACAACCATGCTTACGCACTATTGTTCGATATTGTATTTTCCATTATAACAAGATTATGAAAAAGATGACTAGCTCACTTTTAGACCATACATCTTTAAATAGTATGTCAAGATGTATGGTCTAAAAGTGAGCTTGTCATCCTTCTCATAATCTTGTTATAATGAAATATACAATATCGGACAATAGTGCGTAATCATGGTCGTCAGAATGAGCGCAATCAATGGTAGAGAAAATTATTTCATTGGTATTCCACTATGCGTTGACATAACCTTCTAAAACCAATTTTAAGTGGATCAATGGCTATAAGTCTATTATAAGTACGCCGGTATAACTGATAGGTGTGTAGTCGAATGAGATTGCACCTTCTTCTATCATCTTATACATTAAAAAAAAAAAGCCGTAGACTTTAAAGTGGGCTAGAAGCTTGTGAATTTTTGATCTGTGAGTTTTTGTAAGCTACAAAGCCTTGTTTATCATATTCTTGACGGTACAATGAGATATGTTTAGTTTCAACCCAATGGGTTTTTTGGATCGGAGGGTTCTGTTTTGTAACTAGTTTTACCTATCGAATGAAGGTTATACTCCAGATTGGGGGAGGGTGTAATTTCAGAGCCCGTTGCTATATTAAAAGCTCTGCTTTGCGATTTTTCCGATCCACTGAAGAAGATTAAAGGCTTTCTTTGCCCTTGGATTTGCATCCCCAGTGACATAGCGGTATGTCTGCGGACTTATAACGATAGAAACCAGGTTTCGATACCCATGGTGGGCGGAGCACAGATAGCTCATTGTGTAACTTTGTGCTTAACTTCAAACAAGCAAACGAACAAACCCTTGGATCTACAGTCTTCTTCCTTGGAAAGGACTATGACATAAGTCTCCAACCACAAGTCTAGCTTTTGTAGTGTTGCACTGTCAAGGTGTAGGAAATTTTCAGTGAGCCAAGTAGCTGCTACACACATCGTTCATGGCACCACTAGCAGGTCACTGTATTCGTATATGCAAGTTGTTTTTATAAAGTGCGACTAACCTTATCTACCCTTTCGGTGGTGATTGAAATAATATCGTTTAAGCATGCAAGTCCTTGGAACTTTGATTTTTGAGCCAAATGTGTTTCTAATTTCGTTGCTGAAGTAAGAGAACGGAAAATGTTCTATTGTAGAAGGTAGTCTAGTGAGAAATTGTGAAAACTGGTAAATATTGAGGTGTTTAGATTAGATAGATAGACGTATTCGAGGAGTAACCTGGTTACCTGGTTGGTCTGCAGTGTGTGGCTTCCTCTTCAACAGTCAGGAGCAAACCAATGGAACATTTTACTCACCAAATCACCCTGGACTGTATCCTCGAAACACAGAGTGTCACTACTTCTTTATAGGTAGCAAGTCCGAAAAGGTTCAGGTCACTTTTACTGATTTTGATGTTGAAGGAGTAACACCGTAAGTTTGATTTTACATTTGACGAATTACTGTATTTTGATAATAGCAAAATGACTTAAAAACTATGTGGATGTTTATCTTATAAAGTATATTCCTAACTGACATTCACATCTATCAAGAAAAAGGTCAAGGTTTATCTGAATGTCTAATCTATAAGCACACCATTAGCTTTCATGGGGAAAAGCACATATATATATATAAATATATATCATAAACTAATATATACGAAACACGTAGATATCAAACACTTTTCATTTTAATTTCTAGAGTTTTTTTTTAAGTTACGCACCATTATATATGTTTCAGTGATATTTCTATCACTTACAAGTGTGGCCTAGTAGTTAACGTTCCGAGTTGTGGATCATAAGGTCGATGTTCGAGCTGCAAAGCCAGTGAACACGATCCGTATTTTCAGTTTTGGGTACGTTATAAGAGTTGTAATAAATCACTTAATTGGTTCAAAGCCGGACAAAGCCTCTCTGGCGCATGCAGATAACTGATTATCTTCATTCTTGTCAGTTGTTGAAAGTAGAGACACAACCTGAACCCTAAAAGATATCTGACTTAATCGTTTAGCATTGTCGCATAAGATGTCGTTCAGGTTGAAAATACAAATACAAATTGTTAAAATGGTTAAATATGTTGACCACAGATCTTATGATTTTATAGGACCATTCAGCTGATCCACTTCAGTCTATAAAATGGCATTAATAATCAAAACTAGTAATATGACACAAAAACACACCCTACTAATTTTTTAGAACAACACTAGCGTACTTATATGTTCGGCCCGGCATGGCCAGGTGGTTAAGGCACTCGACTCGAAATCTGAGGGTTGCGGGTTCGAATCCCCGTCACACCAAACATGCTCCCCTTTCAGCCGTGGGGGCGTTATTATGTGACGGTCAATCCCACTATTCGTTGGTAAAAGAGTAGCCCAAGAGTTGGCGGTGGGTGGTGATGACTAGCTGGCTTCCCTCTAGTATTACACTGCTAAATTAGGGACGACTAGCGCAGATAGCCCTCGTGTAGCATTGCGCGAAATTCAAAAAAACAAAATAAACAAACTTATATGTTCTTCTGGAGGGAAATGAACATCATGTAACAATACCGGATTTTGTTAGGAGCACTGGAGTCTCAAAAACACGTTTTTTAGATGGTCTGGGTTTTTACTTTATCTATATCATACGATCATAAAACCAACAGTATTACTAATTAGCCTACTAATTAACGATTAATGAAACACTATGAGTGAAACATAGTCTAACATAAAATATTGAATAAAAATAAACCATAACGTCACTCTCTCACGCTTGTGTGGTGTGTTATTTATTTTATAATTTAAGAAACAGATATAGTTGAACATATCTGTGTGAAAGCACATGATCTTCTATTTGACTTTATCAAATATTTGGTTGAGATTAAAAGATATTGTTTACTGATAATAATTCTTGCACTCTTTATATATCACAACTCATTAGTGGTTATTTATTCTATAGCCTGAGGGGTTGTATGTTGGATTTACTCTTTATTATGACAAAAAACATGATTTTATTGTTGTTTTTTGCAATAGCCGATATATATATATATATAGTGAGTGAGAAAGAGCTAACAAGAGAAAGTACATGGGTGTAAGAAATGTATAAGTCAGAAACAAACGTTTAAAACTATGTTTATAATATGGCTAGGTTGTTATAGTATTTTGGCACTTGTGTATAAAGTTAACCTAGGTAGATTAATTAAAGTGTTTTAATTGGAAATGCTGGTTGGGTTTCACGCTCCAGCTGTACTGCAGACACTGCTAGTGATTATCTGGAGTTCTCCAATCAGCCCTCCGAAGTCACTAAGCTTCCTCGTCACTGTGGCCTGAAGAAACCTAAAACCATTGAATCTGAAAGGGATTTTTTCCGAGTCACTTTCAAGTCTAACAGCAGGTTTGACGGGACGGGTTTCGAGGCCTTTTATCAATTCGTGAACAAGACAGGTAAGTGGACGCCCTGATTGATATTGTCATAGAAAGGCGAATAAAATATTATAATTCTATCAACACCGTCATAAGATACTGAGCTGCATCTCGATAGACACCCATTTTTAATCATATTTTATGTTAGGAGGTTTAGTAATGTATTAATTTTTAAAATTAGAAAAAAAAATGTAAACATGTTTTTATCAATAAAATTTCTTTACTTCTGTGATATTTTGCATAAATGCCAAAAATATCTTATTTCTATTTATCTCACTTTTTTTACTGTGTCCTTGATACATTCTACAGAGGTTATTTGTGTACGTCATGTAAAAACGATTTGGTAATCTCAACATTTTGCTACGTCCAGTCATTCTCCATCTAACGACTGTACATCCTAACAATAGTCCTACAGCGTAATTTACACTACAAGAGGCTCTGCCGTAAGACTGTCATGCACAAAACACATCACCCCAGTTTGCCTGCTTTCCATATTTCATCTATTACAAAGACGATGATTTCTCAGTGTCCCTTTCAAAAGTCCGATCACACAAAAATCTATAAGGGCAATGCTCAACGACTTCGTAGGAAATAGTGTAGATGCCCGTTTCATTCTTCAGCTGCTTAAGGTATGCGAGGGTATATGCCTCGAAAGAAACTTGTGTACATGTGACTTATGTCGCTTTCCAAACAGAGAACCTTCTTTATTATTTGCGAACTATTGACTTTTGACACTGACCTTTGTGTTCATAGATTCCCACCTGTTGTAAGACGCCGCATTCTACGTGCTAAAACTGTAATTTGCTTGTCGTAGGTCTCTTTTTGTATATTCCTGTTGCCCCAACGATTAGTAAAAGGTACATCCTCGTCTTTGAAATTATAAATTCTCTATCTGAACACATCTTTAAGATCTGCGTGTGTGAATATTTTGCACTGGAAAGGGCTCTTACGTACACTTCCCAAAAACAATCAGTTTTCAGTGGCATTACACTACCTATGCATCGACAAACAATGTCAAAATGTGTTTTTGATACATTCCTTTTCACTGTGACTTTGGTTGTGGTTGTCATGTGATGTGTATATTCAAAATCGTTTAAATATAACGTTCTCAATCTCTGTATAATGTTCAACAATTTCAAGTTTTATTTCATGACTAAGACATCTTACAGGGTGCATGTTCTAACAGGTGATTAAAATTATATTATCTAAATAAAATATATTTAGTAAGGTTACTTAACAATTAGATTATTCAACATGGATATGCATGAAAATTATTAGAGAAATAATAATGATAATTGAAAACAAATTATTCCACTAAACAAACAAATTTTCACATAAATCTCCTGAATTAGTAAAAAAAATATTTGTGAATTTTAATTGCCTATTTTATTGTTTATGTCGCTCATCATAGTATATAAAAATTACATTCTATCATCTTTATGTTTCCCATTTGCATCTGCTTCATCTCTAGCTATTTTATTCATCGAACTTGAAGATTATAAAAGTTTAACTGTTCACATGCGTATGGAGGGTTAAAGATGGTATTGTCTTTTTGGTGAAGAACATCCCAATCAATCTTAGTGACTGAATGATTATAAGTGAGAAACTGTGTGAATAAATAACAACATTGTACACTATCATGTACTTGTTTTATAAATGAAAGATTATTTAGCTGAGAAGCTGAACATATTAAATATATTTTCTAAATATCAGAATATTTTGCTATGAAAATTATGTTTCTATTCATTCGTCATTTGATAAACTAATTCAGAAAGGTAAACTTCGCAGACAGTATCGCAGGAATGTCAAGGCAGTTAATTGATATCGTACATTTTACAGTATTTCTGGGATAAAGTAAAAGTAAACTTACCGACTACCTTTCGTATCTATACATTTCAAACATAATGGACTTCGAATGTTGTTTATGCATTAGGTTTTATCAAAACATACTAAGATGACTGAGAGATTTCGTCTATTTTTCTTTTCATGCTACAAAAAAAAAACATTTTAAGGAGTGGTGTGTATTATTCAGAACTGTTCAAATGGTGGAATGATTTCGAAGTTTTCTTTCATTATACACCAAGTGAAAACTAAGCTTCGAAAAGCTAGATTGTATCTAAATACTATTTGGGTCATGGAATAACTTAGCGATGTACCAAAGATAAAAAATACCGTAATTCTAGTATATTGTGTCTATCCATTAACAAGACAGTGGACTGATTTCATATGTTCCTGATTAATGTTAAACCAATTTTAAGTTTCTCAGGATTTGCTTTTCTTCTGTAACCAAAATACATTAATATAGTTAACCGATTTCATATACTTTTTCTTCCATATCGAACCAACTGGAAAATAAAATAATACATCTTACTAGACTATATGTCAGCACTTCCAAGAGAATGGTGATCTTGTAAATTTTTCGTCCGTGTTGAAACAAATGAAAACTAAGATGATCCAGTGCCAAATTGTAGCACAGAAATCCTAATGGTTTAATTTTCTTCATTATTTCTCCTATATTTGTTCAGATTATCATATGTTTTTTGAAAGACGTAAGATGATATTGTCTGAAAAGTTTGAAAGTAGGTTTGTTAATTCAAGAATTTTTGAAAGTTCCATGATGGATATAATTATTATAAGTTAGGGTCACTCATAACCATATTCGCTTAGGTATTGAGTGTACAAGAAACTCTATCTACTCTAGCACTCCAAGACCTCTAGGAGTTCTAAAATGAACGGACAGTTTACTTAAAAATTATCATTTTCAATTATTGAATTAAAATGCACATTTTAGTAATTGGTATTTCACCTGAATGCTACTTTACGCAATAAATAGGCTAAACGGCTAGGACAGAGACACCAATGTTCCACAGAACTGATGGAAATGCAGATAGAGAGGGTATCTAGCCAGCAGTACCTGTCGCAAACACAGCTACTCTTAATCGAATAGCAGAAATGATTGTCACTTTTATAACGTCCCCACAGATGAAAGTGTACAGAGTGATTAGCGGCATATCTCAGTTGATCCTTGGACCTTCCGATACTAAGCCCGGGACGCTAACTACTAGGGCCGGTCCAAAACTTAACTATAACAATTTATTTGCTATAAGTAAGTTTACCTTATTCATACTGACTTGGAATTACAAACATATCATTCCTTGCTCACTTGCATAGATTTATATTATTGATTGGAAAATATTTGTTTTTGGAATTATTAAGTTAGGTTTAGCACTAGAAACTTTGAAGTGTAGTGTTATAATTTTACAAAAATAGCAGATTTATTACTAAAACTAATCAAAATAGTGATATTATAACATGTTCCTTTCGTTCCTTTAAAAAACGATAGCAACCTTCACTAATTACTTTGCTAATGAGATGAATGTCATAATAACTTTCTGTTGTTGTTTTTAAATATACCTCAAGTAGAAATCGAAATCAAAGCTTCCCAAGCGAGATATTCTTCGTTTCAATTAACAAACTTTTTAAAGCAAAACAAACTGTTGTTAAATGGTGAATATTATTGTTCTTTTTAACTGTTTTAAGTTTGTTTTTTAAAACAGTTAAACTGCAGTATGATTGCGAGTCAAGCGCCCTAACCACCAGGCCATGATGTGACACTGTTCGTTTTAAAGTATAGTTTTTTACACGCACACAATCAATAACTTCTGATTAAAGCAAGCTAGTTCCATAGATTGAGATTAAAAATTAACCCAGTAAATAACTCCTAAATAAGAAGCATACAATGTCATTAATCAAAACCTTATAAAGATTAAAATGCATTATTTCATCAGTTCATTATCCTCACTAATACTGATATTTTCGACCTCAATTCCAATAATATTTAACAAGATTCGGCCGGCTTAGGATACCTAGGATAGTTCTAAGTCGATATACTAATTAACAATGAAAAATAATCTTCAAGGTAAATAAATATATACATGGGTGTGGCCAGAAGTATTTCAGGGGAGAAGCGTTTCTGACATTAACACAATATGTATGATTAAGTAAGACGTGAATCAGCAACAGGCACGTACATGGTGCCTAGCAAGGCTCCTATCAGATTGAAGAAATACATTAACGAAAGAAAGCGGCTGCTAATATAAAATTATAGCACCATGTATGGCTGTTTTTAAAGCACTAGATTCATTTTGAAAATGCAGTTGAAGTTCAAAAAGTTCCCACTCGTTGAACCCCAACCCCCAGCGATGGTCATTAATACACACAATACTTTATACAATGTATTATTGTTTTTACTACTATAATTCTTTTCTAGGTAACGTTTTTTTTAATTTTATAACACATCTTATATAAAACGTTTTCTTCATCTATCTGTAACATTATTTTCTTAAAGCTAGCTAGGTATTTAGTTTGAAAGACTAACTGATTTGTTATTTTTACCAAATCAAAGGTCATCCAACATCGTTTGTTAGTTTTTATTAACTGTATTATTTCGTCAAAAATGTAATGTACCTGAATTGTTAGCGTATGCCTTAATATGTAAACATTTTTCTTTTTTATTTGTAGATCCTTCCTCTACAAAGAGAATACGAGATTCCGCTAGCAACACATTCAGTAAGCATTCCCAGACTTTGTGGACTTTTTATAGATATTATTAATTATTTCTACACAAAACTGGTTTGGTTTTCTAAATATAATACGGTAACGGAAATAACCATGGATACACATAAGTGACATTCATACAGGAAGCCACAAACAAGAGCAATGGCAACTAGATGGCTAATTTATTAATGGTACAAACCATAATCACAGAGAAAACTAAATGGAAGTAGCTCAGTTCTACAATGATTGCACGGCCATTTTGTGTGTAAGCCCTTTGTCTTACATTGAGCATCATTACACTTGTTTTCCTGCTGCAATACACAGTTTATCAATGTACTATTATGTAATATTGTTCTGCACAATTCATCACAAATCCGCCAAGTTGTCTTGTCGCCCTTTTGACCTTTTGGGTTTTTACACTAAACCATACAGCTGGAAGAATGTTCAAATCGAGATTTTGTGTAAGCCAAGCCATGGTTCTAAGTGTTCGATCGGCCTCTTTATTGTAAAGACATCGTTTCGTCACATTTTCTGTATGTTTGAATTATTGATTTTACCTGAACTGCACCCCCGAACTTGTACTGTTCCCCCACCATAATTCATAGTAGATGTTGTACACTGTCTATGATACTGTTAACCTCTCCACGGTGGAACAAACTGTCATCGTTAATCGTTGCTGAACAATTTGAACTTGTCTGTAAAGAGTACACGTCTACAGCTTTTCACATTCCACTGTTTGCAATCCAGTGCCAATTCCATCCTTTTTTAAACTCATCTCTGCAGTTGTTTTCACTGAGATTACTTAGTCCTAAAGGGTATCATATTGTTCTTGAAGTAACATTCACGTTTATACTTGAGGTTACATTCACGTTTATATTTACAACAAGGTTGATGATGAAATCTTTACTCGACTTTCAACTACCTCGATAATAACATACCTTGAGATATTCAACATCATTTTTGAAGAGTTTTGATTTTATCGTTTGACCACTTCTATTATTAACAGTTTCACGTGTCCTCTTCAGGGTCTTGCATACAGCTGTTAATGAGATACGGAGTTTTGTCGAAACCTGTATCTCTACACGCTTGTCATACTGTATTCAAGTCCTAAGAACCATGACTGAATCAGATTACTACTACTGGTCAGAAACTGACTTTGTACTTTTATAGGTTGTACTTTGATGTGGTACTTTCTGTACTGTGACTCTACTCTGTCGAAGTTCATTTCCACACGATAAAGAATGATGTTACCGTAATTATATCTTTTCTAACTTTTTTGTGACCCTCAAATTACTGATTTGTTTGTATTCCATTCTTCACAAGCGGGATATACACATTGCATTATATTAAGTACTTTCATATTTTTGCAGGTTACAACATTCAGAGTAAAGAACTAGTCAAAACAACTGAGTAAAATTACTCATTATTCAAGATGGCTAGGAAACACCAGCAGTAGTTAATGACATTAATTCTAATATTGACAATATTTCTATTATATTTTCAGTTCATAAGTTATTAGAGCTCCTGGAATTAACAAACTTATAGCTCTAATAGTAATTTGGTACATGAACATTTATAAAAAAAAATGTTTACAAATCCATTGAGATTTATATGAGATTCTATTGTTAATTGGGTAATTGTATAGGTTGTATAGTTATAAATACTAAAGGAAAATACTATTTGTTGAATGCCATTTAATATATTAATAAATAATAGTATTAATGTTAATGTTTTTAATAATATTTGAAGTTTACTAAAACGCTCATTTTAACAACGATATTTACTGGTGTTTTAAATTTCTTTTTCTTAAAATATACTTGGATAATAACAAATGTATTAAGTTTCTTTTCGTTTTTGTAAATGCTGAACATATCACTATAAACTTGAAATACGATCTCTTAATACATCTTTTCATTTTAACAAAGCATAAAAACAATCAATAGTTGTTTTTAGCTCTCTGTAGTATGTTACTAAACTATCTTGGACTCCAATCACTTTGACCCCAATATTTTTATCCTGACTAAATTAGAACTTAATGGGATATTTCATTAAATGTAGATTAGATAGGTTGATGTTTATGATAATTCCTGGAGAGATTATTAAAGTTTTTTATGTTTCAGGTTATCAGTCCTCATTCCTTTTGATGACTGTGATTTTTCTTCAGGTTATAAACATAAAACGACAGTTCGTGTCTTAAAAAACTGCTACCTTTAGAAATGTACATTAAACTGTATGAACAAGACGGTTGAATACCTCGAAGTGCCTGCTTCTACGTCCTATAACAACTGTGAACAGGCTCATTCCACTGTGATACAATGCTTCCACCTCGCTTTCTGATTGTGCAGCGCCACCTGTATTTCATCCAAAATGTAATCGTATCACGAGTGATCCTTCGTGGTTCTTGTTGTTGTTGTTTTGTTACATAACTAAATGGCGCGATCAAATATTGAACTGTTGAATGAAAGAAAAAGTCACTGGCGTTCTGGTTTGTTTAGGATGCCTTAGAGAAGTTGCAGCATCAGTTCTATTGTATTGTATTTGATCTACGTTTAAAAAAGAAATAAATATTGTATTCTATTGTGGTCTGCTCTTTCAATTCTACTTCTTTCTGTAAAAGATACTGCTGCGTGGAAAGTAAACATCATAGTAAACATCATAAATGAATATCAACTTATTTTTGAAAAAAAAAACAAACTTGTTTTAAACTCTGGAATATTTAATCAAATAAGATAAAAATAAACATTGTTCACCGTATGTTATTTGAATCATTTTAATCTATGTGGTAAATATCATTCTACGTTCGTCTGCCACAAACCTAATTATGTGTGTGTGTGTGTTAATCTCCATCACCCAGAGTTGATTGGCTCATTTACCGTAATTTTTGGTATGGTACCTTGAAATTGTCCGACGGTGTACAGGAGTTATTTTGTTTTAGGATTTTTGCCCGAGAAGGGAGGTAAAAAGAACCTTGAAATAGGGCACACTTACACTTTCTATAGCCTTTTGGGTAAATATTTAAAGACACGAGTACTTAATCAGTTAAATGAGCTAATTATTACCTTCCACAAAGGAGAGTATGTAATTAGAATCTAATGAGGTCATTAGGGATTTAATAAGAAAAAAGAAGAAAGGGGAACATTATCTGACTCTGTCCTTTATATAATTTTTACTTTTTAAACTGGTACCCTCAGCAAGTTTGTTATAATGATATCGAGACTTCAGAATATTTTTAAATAAACAATACAATCAGTTTGTCAATTGTTGAACACATTTTCAACACTAGATGGACTTGCCTGTTAAATAGCTGTCTGACGTTGTCGTTGACTTAAATTATACTTGAAAGAAAAAAAAAAGCATTGGTGTAATATATTCTTCAGTACAGAATACTCGGTTTAGACAAGGCCTTAGCTTACAATTTATTCTTTTTTTTAAAAAAATACAGGTTTAGAGAATATTCGTATGATTAAACAACTTCTACAGTTAAAATACAATGTTTCTATATAGTCATAACTGTGATCGAGAGTGTATTTTAATTGAAAGACATCGATTAAATTTGGATCAGTGTTGTTAACTATTGTTCATTCAGAAGTCATTGTTGAATAGAATGGATAACCACGAAATTTATTTGTGCTGTTGTATATTAATACAAGTATACAATCTTACACAATGTCGAAATAGTTATTTACAATAAAGTTGTGGCAATAGAATTGAAATGGTTACGTGATATCCGCAGTAAATTTTAATATTATTTATAGAAATAATAAGATAATAAAGTTTTCGAATCGATGCAAATAATGCTGTATTCTGTTTAATTATTTAAATCATTTAAAAGTACAAACTTGAAACTTGTTAAAGTGATTAAGACAATCGATCTACATTGTGTGTTTTATTGTTTACAAAGTTGCAGTTGTTTGAAATAATTGTTCCTTTGGGGAAACATCAATAAAGTTAGAGTCCACCCTTAGTGGAACAGCGATATATCTGCAGACTTACAACGCTAGAAACCGGGTTTCGATACCCGCAGTGGGCAGAGTACAGATAGCCCATTGTGATCTGTGCTTAATTACAAACAAACAAACAATAATACTATATCACTGAACATGAGAGAATCAACTGACACGAAATGCATCGCAGAAAATTTCTTTTCATAAACTATTGTAGAATCAGGAAAAATGACTAACCATCTGAGTGTAACTCCATATGTCTGAATGACGTCAGAAGTATCAGTTAACGTGGCGTACAAAATCAGTTATTTCAGACAACTAATAGCCACAATAAATATTACTTTTTATTATATGTTTGGTGTTTTCGACATGAACAGCACCTTTTGCTATCCTGGAATTACTCACCAGGGAGAGCAACCCGTCAGCACATCCGCTATCTACGAGAATAGAGGGACTGACTGTTACTTTTATAACATGCCTGCAGCTGAAAGTGTAGAATGTGTTCATTGACATATTGCGGACTCGAATGTTGAACCTTATGTTTCACAGGTTGGCGCGCCAACCACTAAGCCACATAAGCTCACTTCGTATTGAAAAAATAATGATACATTACGAACCGTTTGCACTTATAACTCATGTTTTTTCTAATCATCTTCTCTAATAAATACTCTTACTAGAACACTTTTCGTTAAATTTGGTTTCATTTTTGTTCGAGATTATAATTTCTAGTTTTTAATTCAGGTTTGTCGAAAGATGTAAAAATGGTCTTTTTTTTTAGTCACATGCTATTTGTCATTTCATCCGCGCTTCATTAAGTACAACTTGTATTTTAAAGAGACTTTACTACATTTGTAAGCTCAACTCCAGGAAAACGATTCGTTGTGTTATTAAAAGTATATCATTAAGATAATGTTAATATTGACTATTAAACTCATAAAGCATTTTGACACGATGTACATAAGAGGTAATAAAGTGATCGAGGCAGCGGCTTGATAAGTCTATTAATATAATTAATAAAATATAACATTACATACGTAAATTATTC